TTTTTGCACTGGAGTCATGCCAATTACTTGTTGATTTATTGTGATGTTTTTATCAGCTGTTTGGACTCATTCTGACGGCACCCATTCACTGCAGAGGATCCATTGGTAAGCAAGTGATGTACGTTTTTCTAAATCTGTTCCGATGAAAAACAAACATATCTACACGTTGGATGGCCTGAGGGTGAGTACATTTTCAGATAATGTTTATTTTTGAATGAACTATTCCTTTAAAAGAAATACAGTTAAATACATTGTAGCATATGTAGACATCAATATGCCATCCAATAAAACCTGAAACACTGTCACCGTATTTTTTAAGTTTAATCTCTGGCAACCAAAGCTGCCTTTTCTGACCATAAATCTAACAGTTTTATTTTACAAGTCAACTATCAGAAATGCAGTGTCAGACAAATAGAGATGCCCTCACTTGTCTCTCCAGTTCCTCTAATCTGCATTTATGGGCGTGCAGGGCTTTACTGGGAAACGCCCAGTAATAGTTAGAGGTGCCCACCCTACCTCAAGTGTCCCCCATGTTATCATCCACCAGACTCTGCAACACCTATTTCACTGACATGGGAGCTGAAAAAAAAGATTAAACAAATTCTCTAGTAAGCATTATATCAGTGAACATATCTTCAAAACTGTGCGAGAAAACTGTCACATGCACTTTCAGGCCAGTGTTGCAGTGCAACTTAAAATGTGAGATTCACTGATCTTGTACGTGCATTTTTACGCCTTGCAAAAATAAGCATTTGGTTGTCTGTGGTGTTTTGATATTACAAAATATTGTATAAAATAGATGATGCTTTGTCGAAATCTGTTTTGCATCACATGAGTGTATAAAAATAAAATATGGCTGTATGATTTCTCACTTCTCGCTGTTCTTTATTGTAATGGAAAAAAGAGGTTTTAAGACTGACAACTGCTGTTTGCGGATACCATAGAAATGAATAAGTACAACAGAAATGAATAAGTCATAAAAGGAATATTATCCATCGCAATATTTTATTTTTTTTTGTGAACTCCAAACATAGTTTACCTCCTAAATAGCTATTAAATGGCAAATACACTGGAGTTTATAGTGGACAGGTTGTTGCAAATAAGCCATTTACTTAAAAAGTAGCTTATGCAGCTCACAGAAGCCTCTCCTCCATTGAAATCCATTTAAAAACTGTTTCTTGTCTCCTTGCCAATGCCCTACTGTTTGTACGCTTTTTCTTAACCCTGGATGCTTGTCTTAAAGGGCTCTGAGATGTATGTGCTGATACACATTATGTTTTTTTTTAAAGGTTATGCCAGTTTATTTCTTTATTATTATTATTTCATCCAACAAGACAAACATTTCAGCATCATTATTAGATACTTATAAAGCTCTAGGGCAGAACTTTTCTGAATTTCAGGTCAACAGGCCTGCTTTCCTGGCTATTTATACAACTAGGTTAGTCATATTGGCACCTCGTCTGGAAATCCTCAACTTTCAATCCAAATCAAACAGGCAAGGTTCAGTTTTCTGATGATTACCATTACATACCTTCTATAAAAAATGTGCAGGGTCACTTAGAGCTCCCTCTATCTGTGACATTGGCGTATCTGTGTCAGGAGCATAAACTAAAAATCACTACAGGTTGATAAAACTTACTGATTCCTTTGGATTTGGGGGCAATTTTTTCTATGTCTTTCAGCTGACACACATCTTTCTGGAAGGGGAAAAATAATCTTAATTAATCTTATTTCACAACGTTTGAGATAATATCAAACTACTAGAGACTACTGTGTCCGACATGGACACAATCACACATAAGCTAAATGGATAAGAATAAGAATCTGAAAACATGCATACTTACAGTTTCAAAAAATATTTCCATCATACGACTTCTTTTCTCTTCCAAGCTAAGTCCTTTCTTTTTAGACTGTGGAGTAAAAAAGATAAACCCTTTGTATTAATAAGATGAATACAGTTCTGCATTTTTCTGTATTAAATAAATAACATAAAACTAATTCAGCTGTCATTATTAAATAGGCGTGGCGTTTTTATATTTTATTAACCCTTCAGTAGGGTTTTTCAGAAAAAAATATTGGAACTAGTGGCAAAAAATTCTCGGCTATATTCTTTCAGACTGTTTGTTTCAATGGACTGATTCAAAAAATTATTTAGCTCAAATCTATGGAGGACTGAACCGCCAAAATGTAATTAATTAATTAATTAATGTAATAGGAATATAAATAAATAGGAAAAAAATGATTTGGTAAAACAAATGCAATTAATTTTTAATCAAATTTAGAATTTATTTTTGTATTACTTTTTCACCATTTATTATATTCTTTATTTTTATTCTTTCATTTTCTTTTTTTATTTATATTTACTTATTTAGACATTTGTTTATTTTTATTTGTATTGTTTATGTTTATTATATTATTTGTTTTTACATTTCTGTCTCTTGTATGATAATTAGACTGCTTCATACCAAAATTCTAATATTTTAAGAGGACTTTCAGGGTGACTGACTTTAATATTACCTGATTTTATTGCCTGTCATAAACCACGAGTGTGTTAATAAAAGGTTGCACAAGTTGCAAACACGTTTTTTTTTATTTACCTCATGCTGTTGTCAGAACACAGAAGTAATGTTTATTTTTTTTAAATAGATTGAAAGTTGATTATATATTTTATTCTATATGAAGTATTGAATTATATTCTGAGGACAGAGGTTTATAGATGTAATGAGTGGCATCATGTAATGTCATCATGTTGATAAATTAATTTAAAATTAAATTGTTTGTGTTAAGAACATTCCAGTGATCTGAATGCTCAGTCATCATCTTATTTGCAATAGTGAACTAATTGATTCTTTTCATTTAATAATGTTGTAAACTTTTCTCCACAGCCCCGTTAACATACAAATATTTTTGACAAATTTGTTTAGAGCAGAGTGTTATAGATCTCAGCACAATCTAGAATTATTCAACCTGTTTAACACATTTCTGCAAACCTTAGTGTGGTTATTTTATACAAGCGACATTCTCTAAAAACGGTAATAGAAGTAACAGAATTATTAAATACAGAAATCATGTTCTCTCACCATGTTTGAGTTTGGCGCGAGATGCGGAGGAGGAAATGTCACTGCGCATGCGTGGCGCTGGAGCGCATGCGCGGCACTTCATTTCTTCTCTGATCTTAGGACGTGGTAGATTCGCAAAAATTATACTTTAGTTTGGCGTAGTACTGAAAATATTCAATTATACTTTAGTTTGGCGTAGTACTGAAAATATTCATTATTTAGCTTTTTATAAATGTATTAGCATTTAGTGTAGCTACATTATATGGTCTTCATTTAATGACTGCGTTGCCATGCAAAAACAACATAGGATTTTAAGACTTAAGAGAATGAAGGTCTACCAGTAAGAGTAGTAAAAGTGGAACAAACAGAAATCCCCCCAAAGTATTTAAAGAATTAGCTCCTCTACGTTTGCACGTTTTTAGAGGAGGTTGTAGATGCTGATGTTATACCGCCCCCTCTGATATAGGCTTGCACAAAACAGATGAAGTTACTTTTACAGAATGTGTGTATATTTACAAATCCCACGATGGTAAGACCTTCTGGATGTTCATGACTCAATCCTTTGCCATATATGTTACTTGTAAGGCGATATATTTACATATAGGCTACAGTCTCTGAGTAGAAGAAGACATAACATATATAGAAGATATAGAATCCCCATAGTAAAATTTGTACACAAGTACACAATATATATTTTATTTATAGAAACAAAAAACAACATTGAAGAGTTCCAATGCAAAAGCCTCTAAAAGCCATCTTGGTCAAAAATGAGATAACGATACTGAGTGAATGCTCTCCACATATAGTATATGTTCATCAAGTACTTTCACTTTAAATGTGCTAAATCCCAGCCTTAACCCATTCAGAAGTACCAGTACTTACATAGAAACCTATAGATAGTAGCCAGAAAGAAATGCTAATTTTAAAGATAAACGTCAGACGTACTTAGAGGCTTTTGCATCTGAACTCTTCATATAAACAAAAAAATCTGTATGTTTATAAATGCTTTTGACATTTTCTTTTAAATACATGTCTGTTTACTTTAGTAATGTCGTCATGTCAGGTTGTAGGATGGATATGCATGACATACTGTATATAACCAAAAATGCATTACACATACATAAACATACATATTTTGGTCCAGTTTCTAATAGTTTTTTTTTTTTTTTACCTCATATGACAAGATATTTCATATATGGAAATGTAATATAGGCCTACAAACATTACATTTGCTTATGGGGTTAATTTTTGCAATATTTTCAATACTGCTACCAAAACCCTAGACCATTTTTGAATAAAATTATAATTTAATGCTGTGATTTATTTATTTTTTTGATTCTGTTATTTTCTTGCAGTAAACTTTAAATAAATATTTTAGACCCATTTAGACACATCAGAAACATTTTTATGTTAGATAATAGTTTATCAAACATATCTAATATTTCTCTTCTATATTATATTTATACTCCCCTTGTGAAAGGTAGATCAATTATTTTACAATTTTGTCTCATAATAATGATCAGATATTTGTGCCATCAGCATCAGCTTCTTAATGCAAAAATCTATATTCATACTCCACTTAAACAAAAGTTATTTTTGTATCAACATTTTTAAGTGCTGTGAAAGTACACAACTGTTTTGACTGTGACAGCTGTAGCAGTACACACTCAAACACTTTACGTACATTCTCTTCCTACTTCAGCCTGTTTAAATTCTTTGAGTTTAAAGCTGCCTCTGTTTACTCAGCTCTTTTTGCACTTCTCTTTTTTTCCTCTGGTTTTTGGTTAGGTCACATACCATATATGCAGGAATGTGTTTTCACAGCTAACTGAGGAACAGCTTGTCTTGTGGTAACAAGCTCACTGCTTGATTGCATCACATCCGAGGGAGAGAACGAGAGGGTGGTGTTTTTTTTTTTTTTTCGTAAAGGTAGGTGAATCAGGTCTGAAAGAGGAAGCAGGATGTCATGAAGGCGTGTTAGCCACCAGTCACTATGCAATGAGTCTGTGTCTCTGTCTACCCAAAGAGTGGGCCATCGCTTCCACCGAGGACTCTGGGAAATGAATCTTATACTATTCCTGCTTTTGGCATTGACAGCAAGCTGGACTGGACTTGGTAGGTGCTGACGGTAGTAGATCTTTTTTTTTCTCTATGCAGGATCCTATCTCTCTCTTTCCCGTTTTCCCCATTCATCTAAAGAAACTCTCTTCTGTCCTATCTGCTCTCTTTTTCATGGTTCTTTGAAATCATTTTACACTGTAATTGACCCCTAGGCAACACAACAGTTGCGGAGTCGTTTGGAATTGATGTGTGCTTTTAGAACACATTCAAATGACCTGTCATATCTTTTGACCACAATGGACAATGATGAAAGTTGAAGACAGGATGGTCACATTACATTATAACTAGTTCTTTGACTCATTTTGTTGCTTTTGGTTTTATGCAAAACACAAAACAGCTTGTCTTTGTTGACGAACAAATGATAATGTTGACTCGGGAGGACGAAAGTTTCTTTCTCTTGGTTTGCGCCAATAATTTCCTCGTAAGTGATTATTAGTTTCCTCCTTTTTACCTCTTACAGCTGAATATGAATTTTGATGTTCATTATTATGTTATGAAAATTATGTTTTAAGATGTTGAGTAACACTTTACAGAGACTTACAGTCAATTTAAATATATAGAATTAATAGTATACATATAAATTACAGTAAGATGATTTTGGTAGCATTCCACAGTGAGGTTCTATGTATTAACATTAGTTAATTCAATAGCTAAAATGAAATAAACAACACTTTTACAGCATTTACTAATCTTGGATAATGTTAATTTCTACATATACATAACATATTTTAAACAAATCAGCATTAACATTAAATAACGTGTAATGAACAATTAACAAGGTGGTATACTATATATGTATATGCATAATTAACAGTATAAATATGAAATGAATCATTAATTTAAACTGTTCAATAAGCATTAATTAAACATTAAACAAACCTATATTAATAAACCGTGTGAAAGTATTATTCTGTATTATAAAAAGATGACAAGTAATGTTTCTAATCTCTCTTTGGTACATTTGGAGACTGATTCTCAGATAACAGAAGTTCTCTTCTGAACTGAAACAGGCCTCAACTAAACCTCAGTATAAAAATCTAGATGAAGGTTCTTTTTTAAAGTCACTTCTTAAATGTGTAAGTACAAAAAAAATTACTTTAGTAAAGTAATTTAGTTGCATGTCATTACAGTTCAATGTGAAGACAACGAAGAAACGGAGCAGGAGATTGCCCTTGAAGACTCCCGTGAGTATCTGCTTTAGCACACCTAATTTTTATTTAATGTGATGTAGACGTCAGACAGTGGCTTTAGTCCTGAATGACTGATGTTCCAAGCACTGACTTCTGTAATCGACTTTCTTGTGGTCTCTGCCATGGAACTAAAATGTAATTTAAGTTTGAAGCAATATTTTGTACATTATGTCTCCCACAGTTTTTGTTGATTTAAAGAAACAGCATATGTGCACTCACTTCCACTCATTAATCTGATCTGTTTATAGATTTAACAGTATTATTAACTTACGAAGCAGTGGGTGAAGAAGAAAACTCAGGTAAGAATTGGTGGTTAGAAATTAGTAGATGCTGGGCAATAAATTGAATATTAGCGATATTATCGTGATAACAATAATCAATCTAAAATACAGAATATTGTTGAAAATTAAGTTTAATATATATGCAATTTCACTGCAAAACTAGCCAAGAAGTGCTTATGTGTTCTAGTACAACTAGTACTAAGCAACTAGTACCCCATCTGAAAGAGATTTTAGTGCGAGTAGAAACGTCATGCCACAGAGCATCTCCTAAACCAGAAACTATTGTAAGACTTTTTAGCTAGAAACTTGTAAAACGCTTGCATAATTTACCAAACGGTGTAAAACATACACTGTAAAAAAAAAATCCATAAAATTTACAGTAAAAAAACGGCAGCTGTGGTTGCCGGAATTTTACCGTAAAAAATACGATAGCAACGTTTTAGGTTTTACGGTTTTAACTTAAATTTACAGTTAAATACCGTAATTTCATTAACTGATATAATGTTAATATACCAACCTATTGAAGTACTGAAATCTGTTTTGTACCTTTGTAATACACTGATAACCACCAAATGCAGGTGGTGATGAGAAAGTCACATATAACAGTTTTTAAATAATAACATATATAGAAAGGGGCACAGTGTCATTCACACAAACACTAAACACCATCATGGTAACACACATGAAACTGAAATAATGCAATAAACATTCATTTAATAACATTAGGTGTAACACACAACCCTAATATACAAAACTGATAAGAAAAAACTAAGAAGAAACAGTTATTTCAACAAAAAAAAATAAAAAATTTGAATCTTTCTCACTTCCAAAAACGGTATACTACCGTAAAATTAACGCCCAATACATGTAATGTCCAATACAGTTTTTCACCGTATATAGTAGGGGAATTTACCTTTAACCATTTAACAGGTTTTTACTGTAGCATTTTTACAGTCTTTTACCGTTAAATTCACGGTCATTTGTGAATTACGTTGCTCTAAGGAAGTTGTCAGAATGCACTTTTTATACCTATTTTGCACTCTTTTTTTCATTTACATGAGTGTTAATTTAATAATAAGAAGTAAATGGTCACTAGGTCTACATTTTTAGTTGTTTTTGCACAAAACATTTTGAATGTGCTTAGAATGAAAAAAAAATCAATTATTATTATTATTTAATTTTTTTTAATTGGGGCAAAAGATAACCACCTGTTTAAATTATTCTAAAGCAAATGGAAATATGTCAACATATATATCAACTATCATCAAGATTTGAAAAGATATCGAGAGATCTAATTTTAGGTATATCGCCTAGCCCTAGATATATTATAATTGTCTTGTACTAAAATCGATTTTTAATGTATACACTATTCAAAACTTTGGAGTCAGTTTTTTTTTTTTAAATAAATTAATCATTTTATTCATCAAGAATGCATTAAACTGATCAAAAGTGAGAGTAAAGACATTTATAATGTTACAAAAGTTTTTTTTATTATTATTATTATTATTATTATTTATTTAACATAAATGCTGTCCTTTTGAAAGGTAATCAAAGATAAAAAATAAAAAAAATCTGAAATAAATGTATCAGCAGCCCAACACTGAAAATAATAAGAAATGTTTCTTGAGCATCAAATCAGCATATTAGAATGATTTCTGAAGGATCATGCGACACTGAAGACTGAAGTAATGATGCTGAAAATTCAGCTTTGCCATCACAGGAATAAATTTCATTTTTAAATGTATTAAAGTAGAAAAAAAGTTACATTCTTGTAATAATACTTAACAATATTACTGTTTTTACTGATCGAATAAATGCATCCTTTGCATTGCATACTTTCATGTGGATTTGTATTGACTTCTGTTATGTTCTCCTGGATTATAAAAGTTATTTTCTAATGCTTTTTCTGGATCGCGAGTGGTTAATATAACCGAGACAGTAATATTAAATATTATATTAGTCTTTCTATTCTCTACTAAACGTTTTATTACACTATCTACTAAGCAAATTCTTTTTTTCTACCCTCTATTAAAGTACTGTTAAATATAAAAGAAACAGTTGCAGTTTAAATTTATTTGTAATGATCTTTTCACATATTGTTCTACAGCAGTATGTATTAAATTTTAAGTGAGGTTCAAACTTTAACTTTATTAACCCTAAAATCTGTATATAAAAAAGAACATAAAAAACTCATTTACAGTCATAAAAATGTATACAATGTTTTAATTATAAATGCTTATTTACATTTTATTTATTCATTTATTTATTGCTTTAAAGAGAATCAGGGGGATGGTGCAGGCTCTGGAGATGGGAGGAGCCAGGGTATGTATGGCCCTTTTCAGATGTTTGACATCAATCTGAAATAAGCATTTTAAACTTTATCTGATCAACTTTTACTGTGATTTCTAGTTCAGGAAATGCATTGTTTACTTAAATCTTGTGCAATTGCAGATTTAGACTCCCAACCAAACAGTGAATCAAACACTGACCAAACAGTTAAAAATGAGGAAACAAAGCCGACTACTGAGGCAAATACAGATGCAGACACAGAGGATCTCAACCCAGTCATGATCATCATACCTCTAGTTCTCACACTGGTCTTCATCGCTGTGATCGTGTGTGTAGCCATGATCTACCGCAGGTGGAGAATAAAAGTTGCTGGTATGCTGCATTCAAACTAATAGACTTTACAGACTCAAAATAACCAGCCAATACATCAGTTTACACATTTATCTAAAGACAAAAATATTTACACTTCCTGGGAACTATCCAGACATAAATAAAACCTGAAGGGTATGTTAGGAAAAATTCTGAGTAGATGCAAAGTAGAAACATACTGGGCAGCATTGGTAAATCACAAATAAAAAGGCGAACACTTAAAAAATGACCATTTTAGTTTTTGTCATCCATCACTCTGAGACTAAAAAAGCGTTTCTTCCCTTTCTCTTTACATTGTTTACAGTTTACACTACAGTTAGTTCCTTAGAAGTCACCTCAAACTGAAATCTTATAAATGAAGGAAAACACTGTGCAATGAGAAATGTTTATCATGTTTTCTCACTTTTTTTTATTTTTCTCCATAAGACACAAAAGAAGATCCTTATCTGGATCATGAAGACCATGAAAAGGTGCCAATGTAGGTACAAGTTTTTAAAAGCATGTTGTGTTACTATTATTATGTATAAGTAGTGACATGTGCTGGCTGCATTTTAGTAGTTTAGTAAAGATGTTGCTTAGTTCCTTTAAGCGATCATATGGCTAACCCGGATGTGCAAAATGCTTGCGTGTGTATCACATGTGGAAGACACTTTCAACCTGCAATGGATGTTTTCAGACCTTGCAACATGCAACCAGAAAAACATATTGTAAAAACATATATATACATAGGCCATATATGTTTAAGCATTACATGATTGCAATACTAGTTTTTTGGATGTTAATTAATTTAAGACCACATCCTCATTTTTTATTTTCAAAAATTTAGCAATTAAATTTTGATCAATTCCTATAATAATTTTAAGTTGTGCTTTCCAGTCATATTTCCATTTGCATTTTTATTAGTAATTTATTTAGTAAAAAAAAATAAAAAATGCAGTGAATGTTTCAATATCCACAAGCCTTGTACTGCAATAAACGAATAGTTCACCGAAAACAAAACTTGCTGGAAATTTACTCACCACATGCATTTACTCAGGCCATCCAAGATGTAGATGAGTTTGTTTCTTCATCAGAAATAATTTGGGAAAATGTTGCATTACTGTACATCACTTGCTCACCAATGGATCCTCTGCAGTGAATGGGTGCCGTCACAATGAGAGTCCAAACAGCTGTTAAAAACATCAAAGTAATCCTCACAATTCTAGTCAATTAACATCTTTGGAAGTGAAAAGAGTTTGTAAGAACCAAATCAATCAAGGCATACCAGTCCATAATCCGTAATAACACTTACTCCAATTAAAATATTTGTTACATATACATATTAGTTTAGAACTGGTTTGGCTTGTAAATGGTGTTTGTGGTGATCTTTGCAGAGTTTTCTCTTGATTCAGACAAGACGACTTTTTCACTGGGGAAAGCAATATCATGAATAGAGGACTTGTATTTTAGACAGGTGTTAAAAACATCTTAATGAGGAGTTGTGTAGATTACCTGTGTATTATTGTAATGCTTATATTAGCTGTTTGAACTCATTCTGACGGCACCCATTCACTGCAGAGGATCCATTTGTGAGATAGTAATGTAATGTTAAATCTCTCCAATTCTGATGAATAAACAAACCCTTCTACTTTTTAATGGCCTGAGGATGAGTACATTTTCATTTCTGGGTGAACTATTTATTTAAGACAACACACAATGGGCCTCATTCATGAAACACGAGCAGAACGATTTTTTTTGTGTAAATCATTCAGAAAGTCGTTCTGACGTAAATGTTCGGATTCATGAAAATGTTCGTATTTTGAAAATGTTAGTTGGTACGAAAGAAATGTGCTCCCCACCACGTGTAAATGGTGCATAAAACATTCAAACGTTCTGTATTCTTTTAGACAAACTGATGACACTGTATTTTTATGCACTATGTATTATAATGATATTTAACGAGTTCATTTGCCCTGTCTTTTTTGCGTTTTTTTGGTAAAACGCAGAGCTCGTCACTGTCCCTTTTTACACAGCCGTCCAATCACAGTGGAGGAGGGGCGGGACAAACACTACATTGCTCAACAATCATACTTGTACAACACACAACAATGGAGAAGTTAATATTGCTGCTTACTGCATTTTTATGTTCAGTAATATTCTTCAAAATAAGATACTCGTAACATGTTACTGCCGTGAATATTCCAAATCATAGCAAACAACGCGTCACTCCAGAAAAATGCAGTGCCTCCAAAGCTCTGTCAAGCACCAGCAGCTGGTCGTTTTCAGACGAGCACCAGGCATTATGTCATCTGGCTAAAAACGCTCTGGTGGACACACGTTCATTTTTTCATTTATTGTTAGGCATATAGCCTATTAGTCTCTTATGCATTTGTGCAATATAACTCGCCAAACCTGAGAATAACGTAATTTGCGTAGCTGTAATTCATAGGCGGGGAATATGCTAATTGTGAATGAGCGTGCATGCACGCCCTATTTACGAATGATTGGAATTCATTAACATACACACATTTAACTATCAAATCTGACCTTTACGAAGTATTTGTGAATCCAGAGGAGAGTTTTCGGGAAGGTCCGTTTTACGCGTAAATTACTCAGAATTTACTCCTATATTTACGAATGTTTCATGAATGAGGCCCAATGACTTGATGTCATTGATGATCCCAAAACAGGCTTCTTTTTCTTCGTGAAAACTAAGTGAAAAATATCTTTTTCTTTTGATTTTGGGATAAAATATGACCCAGATCACCCATGTGCATAGCTAGGGGAAAAACAGTGTGAGTTCAGAGCCAAACGTGTGTGTTAGCAGTAAAAACAGTCTCCATCACAGTATTCTTGTGTAACAGGCCGGAATGGATACATCCAGTCTGCATGTCTTATTTACTTTTTATTTTTTTAATGCATCTGTTCAAAAAGTGCTTTTTATGATTTTTATGAATTAAAATAAACATGAACTGAAATGCATATTTTGGTCCTTTTTTTGTTCCCAGGCCCATGTTTGAGGATGATATCCCATCAGTGATGGAGCTGGAAATGGAAGACCTAGAAAATTGGATAGCAAAAGGTAACCACTAAAACGTTTATTAGGAATCTTCTGACTCTGAGTCACAGTTCATATCTGGGCCTCGGTGTGTCTCAGATATTGCACATTTATATTGAGTAATCCAAACCACAGGTGCTGGAAAGAATTACAGTCTGGTCTAAAATATACATCATGAGCTCAAAAAATATTTAGGCCTATATTTAAGATTTAGATACTTAAATTGCATATCCATCCATTTGGATTACGTTCATAAACTTAATCTGATGCAAATTTGCTAGTTATACATAAATGACACAGGTAAGAAACAGGTCAGATTTCTGTACTCAAAATTTATTAAAATTGCTTAGAAACAGCATAAATCTGTTCACTGGTCACCCGATTTTTTTCGGGTAATGAAGATGGCTAAAATGGCTAGCAGTGGAAAAAACATTTATTGATGTACTATTGACAAATATGCATCATATGAAGTTAAAATTAGTTTATGTTAAAACTGTGCAATCCAAATGGATAAACATTTTATATGCAAATCAAATACATAAATCGTTAATTTAGACCTAAATAAATTTACATATATATGAAGAGTTTATTTGCAAAAACAGATAACTCCGTTTTTATTTTATTTTCAAAAATCATTTTTTTATTAGGTTATCATGTTTTTATTGTGTGTTATTGTGTTAGCTGTATTTTTTAGTTATTTCTTAACCTTATCAAAATTACCCAACTGCAGTTTGATTGAGATTAATTGGAATGCACAATGAAAAAACATGATTTTTTAAAATTGTTATTAGACAGAGAGTTATCTGTTTTTGCAAATTAACTCTTCATATGCTCTCATAATATTTTGCTCAGAAAGCAACATTAGGCAGGTAAATTAGCTCGGTGAAGTTGGCACCCCATAAAAATAAATAATCATCAAAACTATGGCATTCGTTTGTGCTACATTTGTGCTGATTTGTGCCGCAAAAACGAACATTTGTGCTGGTTTGGTGTTTGAGATATTAAACATTATTTTTTTGACCGTGTGACGTCACTCTCCACCCCATGTTGCCAAAATCGCTCCAAACCAGCGCAGTTCGTTTGTGCTCGATTTGTGCCGTTAAAGGGGTCATATGATGCGATTTCAAGTTTTCCTTTCTCTTTGGAGTGTTACAAGCGGATTGTGCATAGATAAGATCCCTGAAGTTGCAAAGACTAAAGTCTCAAAACCAAAGAGATATTCTTTATCAAAGTTAAGACTCTGTCACACCCCCCTAAAACGGCTCATTCTAACACGCCCCCACATATCTACCTCACTATGTGGAAATATTGAAACACGAGCAGAACGATTTTTTTTGTGTAAATCATTCAGAAAGTCGTTCTGACGTAAATGTTCGGATTCATGAAAATGTTCGTATTTTGAAAATGTTAGTTGGTACGAAAGAAATGTGCTCCCCACCACGTGTAAATGGTGCATAAAACATTCAAACGTTCTGTATTCTTTTAGACAAACTGATGACACTGTATTTTTATGCACTATGTATTATAATGATATTTAACGAGTTCATTTGCCCTGTCTTTTTTGCGTTTTTTTGGTAAAACGCAGAGCTCGTCACTGTCCCTTTTTACACAGCCGTCCAATCACAGTGGAGGAGGGGCGGGACAAACACTACATTGCTCAACAATCATACTTGTACAACACACAACAATGGAGAAGTTAATATTGCTGCTTACTGCATTTTTATGTTCAGTAATATTCTTCAAAATAAGATACTCGTAACATGTTACTGCCGTGAATATTCCAAATCATAGCAAACAACGCGTCACTCCAGAAAAATGCAGTGCCTCCAAAGCTCTGTCAAGCACCAGCAGCTGGTCGTTTTCAGACGAGCACCAGGCATTATGTCATCTGGCTAAAAACGCTCTGGTGGACACACGTTCATTTTTTCATTTATTGTTAGGCATATAGCCTATTAGTCTCTTATGCATTTGTGCAATATAACTCGCCAAACCTGAGAATAACGTAATTTGCGTAGCTGTAATTCATAGGCGGGGAATATGCTAATTGTGAATGAGCGTGCATGCGCTCTATGCGCCTATTTACGAATGATTGGAATTCACTAACATACACACATTTAACTATCAAATCTGACCTTTACGAAGTTTTTGTGAATCCGGAGGAGAGTTTTCGGGACGGTCCGTTTTAAGCGTAAATTTACTCATATATTTACGAATGTCTCATGAATGAGGCCCAATGTTTGCAATAATACATCTTTTTAATGGCTGTTGTGTTTGGGCAGTTCAGACTGTTCACATATATTGGTAATGCAATAAATGATGCTCCACAAAAGCTGCTCATTGTTAGTTGGTTCGTCTTTAAACAGGAAAGTCTGCCACAGCAGACAAAAATAACTTCCACCTCATAATAAACTGCCCACATAAACACAGTTCTTACAGTTGTGCTTTGAATAATTACTCACAGCATAATCAGTAATTATTGCACTTAGTTCTTTATTTTCGTAACATCCAGTCTAATGTAACTGCATGTCTTATTTACTTTTTATTTTTTTAATGCATCTGTTCAAAAAGTGCTTTTTATGAATGAATAATGTTAAAATAAACATGAACTGAAATGCATATTTTGGTCCTTTTTTTGTTCCCAGGCCCATGTTTGAGGATGATATCCCATCAGTGATGGAGCTGGAAATGGAAGACCTAGAAAATTGGATAGCAAAAGGTAACCACTAAAACGTTTATTAGGAATCTTCTGACTCTGAGTCACAGTTCATATCTGGGCCTCGGTGTGTCTCAGATATTGCACATTTATATTGAGTAATCCAAACCACAGGTGCTGGAAAGAATTACAGTCTGGTCTAAAATATACATCATGAGCTCAAAAAATATTTAGGCCTATATTTAAGATTTAGATACTTAAATTGCATATCCATCCATTTGGATTACGTTCATAAACTTAATCTGATGCAAATTTGCTAGTTATACATAAATGACACAGGTAAGAAACAGGTCAGATTTCTGTACTCAAAATTTATTAAAATTGCTTAGAAACAGCATAAATCTGTTCACTGGTCACCCGATTTTTTTCGGGTAATGAAGATGGCTAAAATGGCTAGCAGTGGAAAAAACATTTATTGATGTACTATTGACAAATATGCATCATATGAAGTTAAAATTAGTTTATGTTAAAACTGTGCAATCCAAATGGATAAACATTTTATATGCAAATCAAATACATAAATCGTTAATTTAGACCTAAATAAATTTACATATATATGAAGAGTTTATTTGCAAAAACAGATAACTCCGTTTTTATTTTATTTTCAAAAATCATTTTTTTATTAGGTTATCATGTTTTTATTGTGTTTTATTGTGTTAGCTGTATTTTTTAGTTATTTCTTAACCTTATCAAAATTACCCAACTGCAGTTTGATTGAGATTAATTGGAATGCACAATGAAAAAACATGATTTTTTAAAATTGTTATTAGACAGAGAGTTATCTGTTTTTGCAAATTAACTCTTCATATGCTCTCATAATATTTTGCTCAGAAAGCAACATTAGGCAGGTAAATTAGCTCGGTGAAGTTGGCACCCCATAAAAATAAATAATCATCAAAACTATGTCATATGAAGTTAAAATTAGTTTATGTTAAAACTGTGCAATCCAAATGGATAAACATTTTATATGCAAATCAAATACATAAATCGTTAATTTAGACCTAAATAAATTTACATATATATGAAGAGTTTATTTGCAAAAACAGATAACTCCGTTTTTATTTTATTTTCAAAAATCATTTTTTTATTAGGTTATCATGTTTTTATTGTGTGTTATTGTGTTAGCTGTATTTTTTAGTTATTTCTTAACCTTATCAAAATTACCCAACTGCAGTTTGATTGAGATTAATTGGAATGCACAATGAAAAAACATGATTTTTTAAAATTGTTATTAGACAGAGAGTTATCTGTTTTTGCAAATTAACTCTTCATATGCTCTCATAATATTTTGCTCAGAAAGCAACATTAGGCAGGTAAATTAGCTCGGTGAAGTTGGCACCCCATAAAAATAAATAATCATCAAAACTATGGCATTCGTTTGTGCTACATTTGTGCTGATTTGTGCCGCAAAAACGAACATTTGTGCTGGTTTGGTGTTTGAGATATTAAACATTATTTTTTTGACCGTGTGACGTCACTCTCCACCCCATGTTGCCAAAATCGCTCCAAACCAGCGCAGTTCGTTTGTGCTCGATTTGTGCCCGTAGTTGCACTGTGTTAGCACTTGAAATAAAAACAATTCTGGGCAGTGACGTCACTTTCCACCCCATGCCTTTCAAATCTCTCCAAACCGGTGCCGTTCATTTGTGCTCGATCTGTGCTGATTTGTGCCGTTAAAAGAAACCCTGTAACTAT